TAGCATGCTTACAACTGAACACACATGTCCCAGAACACAGGAGGGAAACTAAAAAAAACCCACTGTAGCAGTATAGAAGGCTGCTGCTACAATATCAGTAAACAATAGTTACAGATTACACTGCATAATTATACTTAATATTTACTTATAAATATACTTAATATTTACCATCAATTTTTCATGTTCAGCTACTTCACAAATAAAATACATTCCTAGGCTTCACACTTCAGTGATGTGGGAAACACTAATATCCTTCTATGGACAACCTAAACTTTTTTATTATTATTATTTATAAAGTTGCAAAGTAACCAAATGAGTTCCTTAGATTCCATAGGAGGGAGAAATGAACAAAATGAAGACCGCCTGTCTTAACTTTCTCTAATTCTCAAGCAGGCAGACATACACACAGAATTTGTTCTTGGTCAAATAACTGCATGTTACCAAATTTAAACTTATGAAGCTTTAAATTTAATTGCTTGTCTTCAATATTCTTTTTCTGACATTTTTATCTAGCTTCACTGGGAAAAAAAAAACCTAAAAGCATCATTCGAAAGGAAAAAAGCCTCAATTAACTGTTTGGGGGGCAGGGGGGAGGAAGGAAAGTCATCCAAACTAACTAAATGAAAAGTTTCAGTGAAGTTTTCCCTGAGAGCATTTTCCCCAGACAGAATTTCTGGTGCAAAAAAACCACAAGGCTTACAAAAGCAAAAAATAATAGCCCAAGGAATTGAAAATCAAGTCTATTTCCTAAATCTTTTGTTTTAGGAAGTGGAATACCTCATAGAAGAAATGCTAGAAGAGACCTACCTGAGGACAGCCAGCTGTCCAGAAGCTGAAACAGACCTCAGTGATGTGGCCATGCAACAAAGCTAAGACTTGTTGCCTAATCTCCCACAGTTCACAGTATTTTAATTGCAAGATCACACCAGAGTACACTCTCTCTTTTTTGTTTGCTTGTTTTGTTTTAGGAAAACAAAGTTGTTGCGAAAACAAAACAAAATATACAAAAACTCAAACAAATAAACAGCCTTCAAAAAACCTTGATTATCAACTAAATGCAGGCTATGAACAAGAGGAAATTCTCTTCCTACCCATCTCACTCTGTCTCTCTCAACAGATATCCTGAATACATCAAAAACCGTGGCAAGAATGGAAGAAAAGGAAAAACTTCAGGAATCTGCAGACAGATGTAGGTGCATGCTGCAAACTGAAAAGTTTGACAGTGCCCATTGAAATCTAACTCAGCATTATTCTTTGGAGCAATATCTGATTTATACAACTGCTGATCTATGTCCTTGGGTTCCTTAGAGTATTCTAGCATTCCCAGTTTCACATCTTCTGGCAAATTAGATCTTGAAGATGAACTAAGAATGACTTACACTTGAACTTCAAATGGTAAACACCAAGGGCAATATCCTGCAGAGAGACACAAGGAAATATCCGAGACATCAGAAGCACAGAAACTGTGTTACATCACATCCCGCTGTTACAGCATGCCAGGATACTTTTTATAAGGAGATGTAGTGTGACCCAAAATTCACACATAGGTTAAAGGTCTACAGACAAATACACGGGAAACCACACAGTTCATCAAGTTCTTCCACACAATGTCAACAGCTTCCTTCCAACACTCTTCTCCTCAACACTATCCCAGCACTTCTCCAGCCTCTTCTTTTCCCCAAAGCCCTTACTCCAGGGATCTCGATGTGCACAGCCAAGACAGCACTTTGGGGTTGTTGCATAAAATAGCTCCTGTTTTAGATACAAATGGAAACATCAGTTCCAGAAACAATTCCTAATCCTACTGGGCATCCGACAGACACCTGCTATCTCTGGATTTTTCACAAAGCTGGAAATACTGTAAGAAAATTAACTTTTCAGCTTCTATAGCATCCTGTACTGTGCTGCTTCTGGGAATTTTAAGTTGAAGGAACAGTGTGAGTCTAGGCACATTCACTAAAATGATCCCTTCCTTATAAAAAATGTTAAAATACACACATAGTACCCATAAAGAATCTCACAGAATATCCATAAATAACACCTCAGAGGCTGTCACATTCTGTTTCTGGTAAATTTCTCCATCACTTGCACAAAACAGGAAAAGAGACCTACCAAAAGAACACTTATTCAACAGAGTTAGGACTCTATCTAAAAAGAGCTATAGAATTATAATGTTATCCAGCTATAGATCTGATGCCTCATGTGCAGTGCTTTCTGTCACAAGATTACAAATATTTTCTCATGCAGCTTATGAAATAAAAACTAAGCCACAAACACTACTCACTGGAGAAAAATTGAATGCAAATAACTTCAAAAATACAGGTGAATCCATCTCACATCAGTATATTTGGGAGTAGGTCAAATTATTCTAGCATGTCTGAAAAATCTGCATGGGTATCACTGCAGTTTTTGAAGTACGTAACTAGGTAAAACCATGAATGACCTTAGGCCTTCCCCATTTTGCTAAGTTGCAGAAATTCACTTCTATCTGGGACCTAACTGTTACCAGCCTGAACAGTTAAAAAAAAAAAAAAAAAAAAAAAAAAAAAAGAGCACTTGTACAGCCTCAGCTGAAAGCCCTCAAGATGCAGTAAAAGCAGGTGTTAATTATATCTAAGATACAAAGCTTGCATACCCTGAACACAATCTCAGCAAGGATTATCTTATTTTATCCTGTTATCTCGCACATAAAGTGACCACACAAATTTGAGTGTGAATAACTCACACCCTGAGTGTGAAGCCTGGCTTTGTCCTTCTTTAGGGCTTCACTGTGGAAACCATCCTAATGGCAGATATCAGTAAGTTTACTCATGGAAGTCCAAAATCCACCCCAGACGATAAGACCTGATCTAGGGAGAACACACATTTCGGCTATGCTGCTAAAGAGGCTGAGCACTCTCTGTTCCCATCATCTTTGATCAGGTATCAGTACTTTACAGACTAAGATTAATAGAGCCTTTAAGGAAGGTTTTGCAGGAAAATTACATTGGGAAATACTGGTGGAGGATCAGTTTCGCTGATATATAGAACTTTCAATTTTTTATTAAAAATGATGGGTACATGGTACAAACCCAGTGTGCAGCAGTGATGTGCGCTTTCATTTCTGAAGAACTACCATACACAAACAAATTGAATAGAAAACCTCAAAATGATTGTTTTTAAGACTAACAAGAACTACACACAGCTAACTCCCCACGCACCTACCTGTCTTTCATCCCTGTAGTACTATCTAAGCGTCATATACTTTGTGAAGAAGCAACGGCAGCAAGAACTTCCATGAAATGTTTCAATGGGCAAAATTTTCCAAACAAATGCTTCTCCAATCAAAACAAAATGATGGCAGAGAACTGGCAATGATGATCAAATTGCAGTCTTCTACTGTTGTCTTTTTCCCATGCATAACCTCAAAACACTTAGTATCATGAATTATAATTGCTAATTATTCCCACTATGAAACAAGAAGTACTAAAAAAATAGCACAGCAAACAGAGTGAATACACATTTTTTGCTTGATTCATATGAATTTCCTTAAATAACTACAGATCAGAAGAGTCAAGTTAACTATGACCAGTTACTTATATTTTTTTGTAGCATGTGCTAATTGAGAAAAAAATAATGTTTTGTTTGCTTCTCTTCTTTTTGAACTTGAACATTCCTCAGTTGTAAGCAAGGAAGACCTAACAATTCGCACTTAGGAACAAAGTATTTTTGTGATTAGAAAAACGCAGTGTCTGCATATTTAGCATATATATACACCAAATTCTCTTCAATAAATTAAAGAAAACCACACAGACATAGCGAATACAACCTTTGGCTGAACTAATTTTCAGAATATAAAATAACTAATTAAGGCAAAGGAGGCTGCTAGAAAACTCGAGCGCTTGTTTAACAATAGAGCAGTAGGGAATGGACCACCACTGTCGCTGATAACACATGGGGGGGAGGAATCACCGAGATGCACTTCTCTACTGAAATACCAGTGAACCCGGTTCCTGAGGTCAGTTCTTGTTACTGATAACTTTAACGGGTAAATAATTGTACCTGGCGTTAAGGAGGCTGCAGTCCTAAATCAGTAAAATAAACGTTCTAGAAAACCACTCAATTGCTCTGCAAAGTGATAATAGGCTGTAACTCAGCTCTTCCCTCACAGTTTAGGAGTGGTTGGGTCAGGCACAGAGCACGCAGCACCGCAGCAGCCCCACCGCACACGCTGTGAAACACCAAACCGCAGCACCTCCTAGTCGGGTTATAAGAGAAGGACGCGTAGGCTTGCACAGCTGAAACACCAGCAAACAGTTATCATCCCCCCCGCATCCCCTACCGCTCGGGATCCTCACTTATCATATCCATATCCAGAAGGCGGCCGGCGCCTAGGGCCCGCCCCGGGTCCGCCCCGGCCCATGGGAAGGGGTGCCAGGCCGGGGGGGAGACAGGTTGAGATGGAAGAAGGCGAGAAGGAAACGGAGGTGGCAACCACTCCCGCCGCGGGGGCGGGCAGGGCCCCGAGAGAAGCCGCCAGCCTCAGGTGGAGCCCGACCCGGCAGCTCCGTGCTCCCGGCTGGTGCTGCGGGGCATGGTCCCGCCTCGAAACCTTTAAGCCCCGCCGCAATGCTCTCTGCAACTTCCGCGGCTCCGGCGGCGGCGTGGCCCGAGGGCTCCGCGGCCGCCTCGACGCCTCCGGGCCCGCGGAGCGGTGGCGGACGGCCCTGCCCTGCCCTGCCCTGCCCTGCCCTGCCCTGCCCTGCCCGCCGCCGCGCCCCTCTCGCACCCCAGCCGCAAGCGGTAGGGAAGTGAGAAGTCCCGGAAAAGCAGGTCTTAGGTACTTCCCCAGGTGAGGGAGCTGGACGTCGGGCTCCAGCTGCGTTCGCCGCAGCTGCCCTGGGAGGGAGCAGGTGAGACCGGGACTCCCCCTTCACCCACCCCCGCCGTAAATAAAGCCTAGACAAAGTCACCATCTGGGGAGGGGGCGGGGAGCTGCATTAGACGTGGAAGTCACTTACCAGCTTTGCAAGGATCCTTATAATCTATCGCCTCGGCTTTATCCTCTTCAGTGAAATCGTAAGTGTAGTCATAATCAAGGCCAGAGCAGCAGGAAGGCTTCCCGCAGACAGTCCACCCGGCCAACCACAGTGCCATCCTCCAGCAAAGCATCTTCATCCTCCCTCGGGCGAAGAGGTGGTGGGCAGGGCGCGGGTGAACTAGGCGGCCGGTTCGGCTGTCCATGCCGGCTTGGGAAAGGAGGGTAAGGGATGGAGGAACCACAAGTTTTGTGGAGGGGTTGGGTTTTTTTTTTTTTCGTTCTCCACCTGGGGGCTCTTCCGAGAGACGGTGCCCTCTAGGTAGCCCCAATCAGACGGGTGCGACACAGAGTGAGGAGCATGAGCGTCGGTGCCCCTCCTGCCCTCTCGTCAGGGAAAAGTCTCCGGGTGTGTGGGTGGGCGCAGGGGGTGGACTCAGGCTGGGAGATCCTGTCTGTCAGGGCGTCCCCTCGCCTCTGTCAAACCCCAGCCAAACTTCCCGTGGAGAAGGCGGCGGCGGCGGCTGCTGCCCGCGTCCCGTTCCGCGCCCGGCCCGCGCCCTGCTGCGCGCCCGCCGCCCGCCGCGCCGCCAACCCCGGTCCCGCTGATGCTACCAGAAGATGGATCCGGGCTGCACATCAGCAAACTACCACGGGGAGAGGGGAAAAGAAAAAGAAAGAAAGAAAAAAGGAAGGAAAGAAAAGGGAGCAGGCGGGGTGGGGGAGGGAGGGTGCACTACAGCAAACCGCGGAGCTCTAGTGATGGGAGGCAGCAGCTATGCTGGAGTGAGCAAAGTGTCAGAGCTTCGCCCCCCTCTGCACAAACACTCTAAGCTCTGTCTCTGGTCTGTCCCCCCTCCTCCGTCCCCCTTTAACTTACGAAAACCTTACAGGCAACTAACACACAGTCGTCAGCATCCTGCTTACTTATTCATACAGTCAGGGTCAGGATCCGGGCTGCTTCTGATCTGCTCCCTTGATAGTGTGTCTTATGGAAACACGCGCATTCACTATACGCCTCTATCTCCATATAGTTTTCTCTCTAGATAAGTAGTGCATGGCATTTAAACAACAACAACAAAAGGATCGAGATCAGATAAAACAATGCACAGATCGACACCCGACAGCCAAAAAAGAGCGAGAGAATGGGTGTTGAGTAGAATTAACTACAATTTAGGAGACGGAAAAATAAATCAGTGTCTGTGTATTTCCCCCTCTGCTGCGGCTGCTTTGCAGTGTTAGCCCCATGAGCTGAAGGGTGGGGGTTAAGGAGCGAGGGGGAGGGGGAAAGAGAAAAGTTTAAGCGCCCACAGTTTGTTTAAAACAGAGGAAGGCAATATAAAAGGTCCACTGGTCTCCAGAAGTTCAGCCAAGCAACCGGGAACCGGTTCCAAAATGAAAGTAAGAATAAACAAACAAACAGAAAAAAACAATCAATGCAAACAAAAAGTAAAATCGTAGCATGCAGCAGCAGCGCGGAGATCTTGCAGTCGCGTTTTCCTGCTCTCACGTGGATCTCCAGGAGAGTGGTGGAGGTTTATTTTCCAAGCGAAGTTTCCGCGGGAGCCTTCGCCCCGCTCCGCGGTGTCCTGCCTCGCCTCGCCCGGCCCAGCCGCGCTTCAGAGCCGAGACGCCCCGAGCCGCCGCCGGCTGCGCGGGGCCGGGTTTTGTTTTAAAGCCCGAGAAGGGATAAGCGCGCAAAGCCTCATTTCAGCCGATCAACCTGGAGAGGGAGGGGGAGGAGGGGTGGAGATACGTGCTGCTCGAATAAAACAAGATCAAGCGGGAGGGGGGGGGGAATGTATATAGGTAGTTAGAGATCTCCCTGCCTGCCTCCTCCCCTCCCCCGAGAAGGGCAGCTCCGATCCTGCAGAAACGCCTGAAACTGTTTCAGACCAAGGTGAGACTTTTCCGTAGCAAACTCTACTCCTCCTCCTTTTACGAGTTTCCATGGAAAAGGGCGGGGGGGACGACGAGGGGTGGGTAGAGGGGAGTTTCTTCTGCTGCCATTTCGCCGGGGTGTCACATTTAACACGGACTTTTGAAAGGGCTGCCGCGGAGAAGTGACTGCGTCTTTCTCTCACTTCCGAGCCCGCACAGGCTCGCTCTCTTCGCAGCACTTCCCGGTAACCTTCCCTCTGTGGCAGGGGTGGAAATCCGGAGATAGTCCCTTCTCCTGCCTGTGCCAAGAAGGCAGGCAAAGCCGGCGGCGCGCCCCTTGGCTCCGCGGGCGCGGACCGCCCCAGGTGCCGCGGGGGCGGGAGGGGCACGGCGAAAGCAGTTATGCAAACTCCGGGTAGGCACAGCCTGCTCTCGCAGCTATCCAGGGACTGGGCACAACTTTCTATCGCCGCTATCAAGATCTAGCTGCTCCCAAAAACGGGGGGCATGGGGGAAGGCGTTGGGGGACTGGGGGGCGGGGGGGAAGGAGGTGTGGGGAGAGCAAGGCGCAAAGCCTCTTTTCAAATGACAAAAGGTACTGCCTGCCCGGAGACGGTGCATCTGCCCCTGCCGTTCTGCGAATGAAGGGTTAGTGTTGCTATAGATAGGCACTCTCGGCGGGTCATACCATTAAAACTGGAAAGGTCAGTTAAGGCAGAGCTAATAACAGTTTAATAATAGAGCATATTAAGGAGTCTGACACCGGGTAGCATCACTGTCTTTGAAGCATCCATATGTTGTGCTTCCTTGCATTTTTGGCATCCACGTTGTGTTCATGTTACTCCTAACCTAGTCTTGTTGCTTCAAAGTTGAAAGCCAAGGAATGAGTAGCTGCCACTGAAAAGGTGCAGCCTTCACTAAGGAATCACTCTTCTCTGTCCCGGCAGTTCAGTTTGTTGGGTGTCATAAGGCCCACAAAAAGCACCATACACCAGATGACAGAAAAGCCTGAGAAACTTGTGGTCTGCTCGTTTCTCCTCTTCCTCAATGTACTTCCTGTAACCAGCCACCTCAGACACTTGGAACTGACTCCAAGGAAGTTATCAGAGATCCTTCCTTGTCAATTCATCAGAGCAGTGTCGGAGCTGATGACTACATATGCTTGCATACTGTCACGGTTTAGTGGGCTGTGTTTTGGTAAAGAAACCAGTCTGATCCAATCTGAAATCTAGTTTCTGTTATTTTTTAATGTCCACCAAGGAGACAGTTTACCTTGCAGTTTTATAAATTACATGCTCATTTGACATAGTGGATCTCCGTAACCCAGTTTTGTTATTTTACTTGGTCTTGTTTCATACGTGCACACCTTTAAAAAGTTAATTTTCTTTCGTGTGCCTATGCACCCCTATCCCAAAAAGAAACAATCTCTGCCTAGCAAGCACATGTTTGTCAATAGAGCCTTAGAAACACTGACTTTGCTGATTGCTTTACAGCCCTAGTAGAGGAATGTACAACATACAACCCTCAACATGCCAGTCTCCCAAGTGAGGAGATTATTATAGCCTCTCCAGCAGGAGATTAACTCTCCCAGCAAGGTAGGCACTGACGTCACTCCCAGCCTCAATCTGCCCCCGACCTCAGCATCATCAACACTGGCAGAGCAGCAGCAAGTGCTCACAGTCTTGAAGACAGCTGGCCATGCAGAGCCCTGACTAAGACAGGAAACAAATTCAGAAATGTTAGATGGGAGTCATGCAGAAATCTGGGCACGTAAGTGCTGTAACAAATAAATGTGTGTATAGGTCAGGGTAAAAGCTGTTTTCTGCTTGTAATCCAGAGCAACTACACATTAGAATTACTGTTTAAAATAAGCATTGCAGCTCTGCAGAAACTATTCTACATTGCTTAGGTATTAATATTCCCATCAGTCACATTAGTAAAAAGCTTTCCTCATATTAAGAGAATTTTTTTCCTAGTAACCAAACTGTTTCACATTAAAAACCCCATCTTTTTCCCTAATTAACCTCTTAATTATTCAACCTAACTTCTTTCATGATGCAAAATTTTGAAACATTTTAAGTACAAAATATTTTTTTCTTATCACACATTCATGTCTACCATTCCAAAAAGCTCACAACTCTGATAATCCATCTGACAACACAGTCAATCAAAAATCCATCCTACAGCCGTTTCCAAAGAAACGAACACATAGCCAGGAAGACAGAATGCTTAAGCTGGAAGGAAACCAACCAAAGGAACACAACAACAGCAACAACAAAGCTCCAAGCATTTTCCCTTTCCCTTTAAATTTCCTGATTTGTGGATATATTACAGGGACACAGATAATGGTGAATGCATTTACATTAAAAGTGGTGGTGGTGGTTTGGGTTCTTTGTTTGTTTTTGGGGTTTTTTTAATCCAGAAAGCAGGAGGCTTTCCAGCTCTTCCTACACATACTTGCAAAAAATACAGCCCCCCCCCAAAAAAAACCAAACCCAAAACCAAACAAACAAAACCCCACCAAACCAAAAAACACCCAATCAAACTAAAAAATGTTTTTAAAAAAGGACAAGTATGTACAAAAGACAAACACAATCACAGAACTAAAAAAAATACATCTGAAATATCATTGTTCACACCTCCTCCTCATTCTTTGGCTATCTGTCTCCTGGTTAGGCCTCCATCTAGTGTGGAGTTTTAGGTGGGTGGACACAATGGGCTTATTCACAAACATCAAGCTCAGCACATGCCTAAGGCTTTGAAGGCTGAAGACCATGGTGGGTCAGCTCCTTGGGACAAGGACTCGTGGGATTTTTCAGGAGGCTAAAACAGAGAAGTTCTGTGGGAGCTGGTTACCTTCGTGCTTTATCTCCTGATAACCACATTCTCTGTCTCTGAGGTACCTAGAGCACTTCTGAAACAGCTGAAGTTATGTTTAAGCATTTTCCCATTCTCCAAACGGTTATTCTGTAGGGAAATACTGATGCTAAAAGCGCATTGTAGCAAATAAACTGTTTACAGTAACAAGCATACATATATTTAATCATAAAGGTATACTGAGTAAATTATATAAATTAAATAATATAAATTATATAAATTAAAATTAAAATTTTGAAGTTAAAAATCAAGCACTCATGATCTTAACAACAGTGAGCTCACCTAAGAAACCTTATTTCTCCCTTCTCTCCCACATGTACTCATGTATTATGAAAGTTGTTCATTGCACGTTTGCATACAATTTTTTCTACAGATCTCTCTGCTTAATTAACAAAAAGCTTTCAATGTTATGTTTTCTGCTTTATTTTTGAAAGTATGCCCCATGCTTTATTCATTACACATTTATTCAGATTGTACTCTGAATACAGTTATTAACTTCCTCATGGGCATTTTATGGAGCTTGTTGCTACAGTATTTATGGGCTTCAAAAATATTAACTATTTTAGTTTCATAATACACCCCTCAGATGAGGGGATATTTTGACAGGATATGAATATTACATTTGGAAAACAGTTATAGATTGCCTAGTTTGATATCTTATAGACCTGTCAGGACTTGGCACTGTAGAAAAGCTTATTTCTTCAAGGCCTTGTTCCCACTGCTTTCAGTTGCAGTAATATCACTCACTGACTATCTAACTACCTCTAATCAAACCCTGGAGTTTTCAGGCATCTGAAAATGAGAAGCAAATATTTAGCAAGAAGTGCAGTTTGAAAGCCTTGAACCAGCTTTATCAAGGAACGTGCTGGCAAAGGCAAGGACTAAGACACAAATTTTGGACTGTTTAGCTCTCTCGAGATTTTGGACACTGCTTCTCTTCCCATAATTCTTTTTCTTTAATGCTTCCTTCACTTTCTAGAATAAAGATGACCAGGCTTCTGCCAGCAACAGCCTCATCTTTAACAATATTCACATAATTCTTCCACTGTTTTGAATCTTCGGCTCCTCAACACAGTACCTGTTAACATGAATAGGTAGTGCTGCGTTTGGCCCACCATTTGAAAAGACGTGTCTGTCTTCACCACTGGATTTCATGGTTATTACTGGCAGAAGAGGGAATCTTGGGATCCCTTCCAAACTCTGGGAGAGGGTGTTTTTTAAATAGCAAACTCCCATCTGTTTGCTTCCCATGTCCATGCTTTGCCTTATCTTGGCTTTTTGTTTCAAGCCTGTCTTCATTCTGTCTTCAGTCTTGGCTGTTCATCCCACTTTTATTTTTCTTATCCAGTTAATGGTAGTGTTTGATTTGTATCCCAGTTCCAGCTGCCCTAATTGCACTTTTCTTTAATTTTGTTCTGGGATTTCTCACTCTCAGATTCATCTTCAGCTATGCAGGGTTCTTTTTGTTGTTGTTGTTTTGTTTTCATTCCCTTTATCTAGTTGATCTTTCTCTTATGTCTTCTTACCCAATATAACTTTTAGTTATGTTGACATCCACCTTCCTTGTCTGTTTTTTACTGCAGGTGTGCCCCACAAAGTTGGTCTTGCTCCTTGACCTTATTTCCCAGTTACAAAATTGTCCTTGCTCCAGCCCTTACACTGATGTTCAGGCAATTTTTACTAGTCTGCTATCCTCCATCCATCTCTTCACTTGGTTACTTCTCAGGCCTGGTTTCCTTATGCAAAAAATTTTGCTGTCCCAAAATATATCCACCATTCCCACTGCTGATTTCTCCTAATTCTTTCTCAGGAGCTTTGTGCTGACTTCACCGTGCTGCAAGATCAGCCCTTCTTCCCCATCTATACAAGTGAGACAACCTTCCCCTCCCCATACTGCAGATACAACTGAGGTGGATTAAGCACCTGAAATCATTGCTTCTTCTCAATTAAGTTCCAGATCCAAGCAAGGCACAGCTCAAAATTATCATGTGATATATCATTGCAGGTAAGACAGGTGAGAGAGCTGCTAAAACTGCATGTATTCAAG